CGTAAATCGCTATCTTTGTCTTCTGCGTAATAATGTTCACCTCTCTGTCCAGCAAATTAACAATAGTAATAATAATGAACTTTATTGTATATGGCGCCTTTAAAGGTGGCTCCTCAAAGCGCTTTACAGGATAAAAACAATAACAACAATACTGTTAAGCTGGGCAAATGTTTTTAAAAAAGAAATACAAAATGAGATATAATGATGTGTTCCAGCTTAGAAATTAACGAAGAGCAGAATGAAGGTCATAAAGGTCATAAATGATATTAATTTTGGAATATCAATATATTATGTAAACTGTATGTTGCTGTTATTGGTATTTTAAAGAAAAAATACTGTAAAATCCTGGGTTCTGTAAATTGTTTCAGGTATTCATGTGAAGGACAGCAGAGCTTTCACTGGCCGATTATCAAACTTTATTGATAAAACAAAAACTATCTGACCAAACCAGAAAAAGAAAAAAAGAATCAAGAATAACGGACACAGCGCGAGCCTGCATTCTCTCCTCAACCGTCCACAGCACACTTTTCCCTTGGTCAGAGATTAAATAAAACTTCACTCGCACCAAACAAATTACCACACACTGAACACTGAACTTGTTAACCCAAATATGTCTCACAATACTTTTATGGTACATTACTTTGCTAAAATGTATTTGAAAAAAAAAACTATTACAAACGCCAGCAGAGAGAGAGACACACACACAGTCCTTCATTGTCAAAAAGTAATTGTATTTTACTTTGTCAGCACCCAGACAAACGCAAACGTGTTATTAATGAAATGCTTTTATTCATTCTTAATCAAACTCACCAGTTGTCATCTATTGTTGAAGCTCTGTGAGACTAGACTCACACATGGCTAGACTTCACTATTTAACCATGAGATTATGTTTATGTTTATCAATCTTCCTTGTTATGCACTGAGAATGATAAGCACCCCAAACACGACGGGCGGCGTAGCGGTCGGCTATGGCTTTCCAATCTATACCGAAGCACTGCAAGTACAACCCCCCCTCCTTCTCTTGAGCGATGGGCAACAGTTGGATATCTGGGAGAATTGTTCGTTCCACTGGCATCTGTGAATTCCGCTGTGTAAACGGTGCTTCCTGAAGGGAGATAGACGACGGGGACAGCATCAGCCAGGTCCTGGGCAGTGGTGAGCAGAGAAGCCGGGGTGGAGTGTCCTGAGGTGGTGTATGCTCTGTGGGGGGCAGAGCTTCCGCCAGGCATTGCAACCTGCGCGGTGGGGGAAGGCACTCATCGGGATACAGCTGCTCAAGCGTTTGACTGCCGGTACACACTGTCTTCGGCTTCTGAATCTTCAGGAGTGTCTCTAACCTCCCAGTCCTCCCCTGTAATGCGTCGTACTGCTCCCGCTTCTGCCGAAAAGTCTCCATACAGGTGCTGCTTCTACAGGTTGGCACCCTTGCCAGCGGCCGAGAGCAGAGTGCATTGCACTTTGACAGATTGTCTTTAAATCAATTGTTGTCAGAATATCCCCACCTCCAAACAAGAGCAAAATTGCAACGTTTTTATTAACTGGCTGTTTCACTAACTTAAAGTATATATTTAAAGTAATAATTTAACAATATATGTAAATGTTTTAAGATATGTTTATGTTGTGAATGTCTGTAGATTTTACCTTATTTTTAGTTTTTGTTTTGTTTATAAGGGAGAGTGTCATAGAGACGACTCCCTTACCCCCCATCCTGATTTAAATACTTTTATTTTTTCACAATCTGGCAATGCCAGACAGAATTCACATTTGCTGCAGCCAAATTGCTTTTATCAATTATCGCGCCCGGCTCCTCAATGAAATCGCTTTAACATGCTAATGCGTTGGTGTAACGGTCCGGGCGTGGCAAGCTTCTAATGTCTCCCGACTACGGCGAAAGGAACCCGTCTTTCATTGGAAGATAATGAACATATTCTACCCATACATGAGAATATATTGCTGGTGCGTGGGCGCGGTGGGGTGCTGTACCAGCTGTAAAAAAAAGTTGTTACAAAAACAGTCAATTGAGTGTCCATAATATTGCAGTAAGTGAAAAGACCACGGGCATTCTTCCTCCCCCTACATTCTCAGAGTAGAATAGAATTTATTATTAGCACAATTTATTACAGTGCTAAATTGAATATTATTGATTACTAATAATTTATGCTAACACCTAGCTTTCTTAATGTGAGAATTACTACCGTAAGTACTGTACTTACTGGGTTTTGGAGGGGGGGTGTCTTTCGCTGGAAATCTTGCCCCCTTCTACTTTGAAAATACCTCTGAAACCGGTTTAATTCGTCACGGCCAGCACTACCGCAGAGAGTGATGAAAACCGCGCTGCGCCAGGCGAATGCACATCAATATGTTTGACTTTTGGGCTCAGGTTAACATGTTCAGTGTGTGGTAATTTGTTTGGTGCGAGTGAAGTTTTATTTAATCTCTGACCCAGGGAAAAGTGTGGTGTGGACGGTTGAGGAGAGAATGCAGGCTCACGCTGTGCCCGTTATTCTTGATTCTTTTTTTCTTTTTCTGGTTTGGTCGGATTGTTTTTGTTTTATCAATAAAGTTTGAAAATTGGCCAGTGAAAGCTCTGTTGTCCTTCACATGAATGCCTGAAACATTTTACCGAATTCAGGATTTTACCGTATTTTTTTTTTAAATTACCATTTACAGCAACATACAGTTTACATAATATGTTGATGTTCCAAAATTAATATCGTTTATGACCTTTATGACCTTCGTTATGCTCTAAGTTAATGTCTAAGCCGGAACACATCATTATATTTCTTTTTTAAAAAAATTAAAAATCGTTTGCCCAGCTTAACAGTATTGTTGTTATTGTTTTTATCCTGTAAAGCGCTTTGAGGAGCCACCTTTAAAGGCACTATATACAATAAAGTTCATTATTATTACTATTGTTAATTTGCTGGACAGAGAGGTGAACATTATTACGCAGAAGACAAAGATAGCGATTTACGTTGCATTGTGCATTGTGCTGCTGTAATACTGTTTAAAATAATGAAAAGTCTAAACAGTATCAGCTTTATTTATGGGTTGTAATTTAAAAAAAGTCAAAAACCGTACTCAAAATGCAATTTAGAGCTTTCTGGAAAGAGGAGACACCCAAATTAAAATGTAACATGCCACTGTTTGTGCATGAATAAGGTTATACCGCTATTTCCTTAGATACACGATTCCATGGTAGTTTTTTTTTAATCCCCGGCAGAACCAGGCATCCATAAGAATCAAGTAATAGGTTTATTCCATGCTGAAAAAAAGAAGAAAGAAAACACATTCCATAAGAATCAGTGCTTTTATATAGCACCTTTAAAGGTGGCTTCTCAAAACGCAGTACAATAGGATAAAAACAACAATAAAAACAACAATATTGTATTTCATTGCAGGACATTGACAGATCGTCCTTAAATCAACTGTTGATTTAAAGTTTGACAGTAACCCTAACACTAACCCTATTTTATTTTTTCAAAGAAATGTTTGTTAAATCAAAAAGTAATGGCTTCGGCTGAATTCGAACACCCAACATGTTATGTATAAGTCAGGAACCTATCCCACAGCGCCACTGGCAAGGTCGCATGATGAGTGTTGAAAAAGCACTACAGAAACAGTATCATCAGACATTGTACAGTGTGTGCTATTCTTGTGTTGCGTTACATGAATATAATTATATCGTTATTAATTTCTTTAGATACGCGATTCCATATTATATTCCCTTTTAATCAAATTCTAAAAAGTATGCTTGTTGACTCCGGTATCACGTTAGTTAAAGACTTCGATGCTTACAATGTTTAGGGAGAAATGGAATACTGGTGTGTATGTTTTCTTTAAAGTACCGAGACCAGCCATATACTGTATGTTTATGTTCCAAAATTAATATCGTTTATGGCCTTCACACGCGTTACAGTATGCTCCTATTCTTTTTATGCTCAGCTACTAAGATTTCCCTTCAGTGGTAAAATTCCATATAAATATTCAATACTTAAACGGGCACAGTAAATACATAAAATATACATATACATACTGTATACAGTACAGTTTGCATACAGCAATATGTTTATGTTCCTAAATCAATCTCTTTTATGAGCATGTGGAAGGCATGGTGAATCGGAGATTCTCAAAAATTACTGTACTTTGCATGATTGGAAACAAATGCGTGATTGCGAAATGCTGTGGTGTTACTTTTACAAGGACGGTCAATGAAAAAAAGAATATGGACCAGGGCAATACTTTGAGTCAACAGCTTGTCCAAGGTCATTCATTATTAATTCTATTAGTAATATCTTCGTTAAAGACTTTGATGGCGACAGCTGAAACATGAGAGGTTGAGCTTTATTAGCTCCACCTTGCAGAAATTCCGGATACTATTATTTTACTTGCGGTACCACGTGGTATTATGAGGTATTATGCGAGAATTTACGGAAACTCGCGGTAGGCTGCGTCAAGCGCACCGCAAAATAATGTGGTATCACCTGCTTGTTTTGAATGGCTGCATCTGTATGTTGGTTTTGTGGACACAGGAATGAATGAATCAGTCTAATTAAGTAGACTGATCTGTAGCCCACTGATCCAAAACTCAATTTGTTTGACTAACCTCATGCCTGTAGGTATTTGTAACAACATTAAATCTAAATTAAATTAAAGCAAGTATTAATAATACCACAGCACATTCCTAAATTACGTTGTGACTGTTCACAATCACATATTAAACTGCTATTTAATATGCTGCATTTTAACACTTCGTTTTTTTCTGTGTTGCAGACACAGAAGCTGAGAGAAGTGCTTTAAAAGAACATGTGTATCCTAAATTAAGAGAATTCTGCAGGGAAAACTATGGAATTGAGTTCCAGGTATGTGGACTTTTTCATTATCTTTCATGCTTTTGTGAGTCTCGATAAATAAAATCATACACACGCAACTACAAAGTTCTGAAATTCTGAAATGCAATTGCTGCTACAATGACCTTTTAAAACCGCCTTTTAAAAGTTGAAAAAAAATAATGTATTGTATGTCTTCTAATTGTTCCGTGATACACAGTTTTCTTTATGGACTTTTTAGCACTGTATCTTTCATTTCATTTTCTGTTTGTGGTTGAATAGTTGAATAAAATAAAAAAGAAGTTTTATCTTGATTGTAGTCATCAAAATCCTAATGAAGATAGAGTGAAATGGATTTGATCTATTTTTGATCTAATCTGACTGTTTCAATAATTGACATAAGGAAGGATGCATTGATTTTACAGTTGTGTACTTGTTTAATTCATGGTTTACAAATGCAGCTGTCACGGTACAGTAATTTTAACATCCTAATTACACAATATGAGCAGTACAATGTACTTTCATTACAGCTTGTTAAGTGTTTTCTACATCTTGCAGATCTACTTCACCTGACCCGCATCAGTTTCTCTAGTTAAGGCACAACTTGGTTCACAAGGAGTTAAAATGTTTATTATGATGTACTGTAGCAGTGCATCATGGATTATGCTTTATTAATTTTTCTTTAGGAAAGTTGATGTGAGTTGTATATAGACCTGTTATCAGAGTGATGTCTGTTCAGTCTGTGACTCAGTGTTGTGCTGTGAAATAAATGGTAAATAACAAAAACAAAACCTCCATGGTCCCCTGGAGTAAGTTATCACAGCCTTAGTTCTCATGTGTCTCATGGCTAAGATAAGAAAACAAATTATAAGGAAGACAATTAGAAAAAAATGGCAGGAGTAAGAGAGTGAGTTGAGTGGGTATACACTTGTCTGCTATTACTATACTCTAATTTATTGCAGTTCAATAGTGCAGCATTTCTAATGGTAATTAAAAAGTTTAAAATTTAAAATGCACTCTACTAAGAATGAAAAAACAAACTCTAGTGCAGGGTATTTTATAATTAAATGTATTGTTTGCACAATCTGAATTATTGATGAAAGACGATCCTTTCCAGTTTCCAGAGATTCCAGTACTCACTTTTATTAAAAATACGTAGAAAACCAATGTTTTTTAAAGCTATGCCTGAAATAGTTAACAGATATCACAAGACTCTTACTATGGAAATGCTATGGAAATTTATCTGTATTTATTTTTTTCTCAAATGCAACATGCCTCACATGCAAAAATGTGACTCATATCACATAAAAAGTTATAAATGTGTTTATTGACAGTAATAATACTATTTAGCATCTCTTTTTTATGAAAAGTACAGTTTTAAGTTATCCAGTTAAAACAACTCAAGTTTAAACAATTTGACTAAGAGTTTACACCAAACTTCAGTAGGCAGGAGTATCAAGCATCAAATCCTTCATTTATGAAAAACCTTGGCAAAAAATGTGTGTATCTTAATCTAGTGACCATGAATTATGAGGAAAAAAATTGTTGTAATTGCGAGGAGCTATACTGTAGCTGTCACGATTGTAGTCCCTCCCCCTTAAGGGCGCTCCGGCTCTTTCACTTCTGTGTTGATTTTGTGCACCTGCTCCCTTTTCCTGCCTCCCTACTTAAACCAGACGCTCCAGATCCAAGACTCGCTTGGTACAGGAACCAATGCAGAGCCCGGAACAGAGTGAACGTCTGGCTTAAGTAGGGAGGCAGGAACAGGGAGTAGGTGCACAAAATCAACATGGAAGAGAAAGAGCCGGAACGCCCTTAAGAGGGAGGGACTACAATCGTGACAGTAGCCTCTGCAAAAGCTAGGGAAGATGCCTGACAAAGAATCGCCGCTACATGTGAAAGTTAATTGTGAAATAAAATGAAATCTCGAATTAAAACAAAAAAAAAGTCAAACTAGCACACCTGTTTTGGAATGACCTAATTTACATTATGTCTTTGAAGTGGAGCTCCTCTTAAAATATTATGTAGTTATGCAATATTGATTTTATGCAGAAGTAATTTATTAATTTACAGTAGCTGTATCACAGTGGGAGGACCTGGCAGAAGATTAAGACACAATATAAGAGTATCACCAGAGGGACTGTACAATACAGTGTAGTTCAATCCTCTGAATGAAAAATGTTGAGTAATTTTAGCCAAGACGAAACATGAGTAAGATTGAAGGAGGACTGGAGGAAGAATAATCATTATCATCAGTACAATTAAAAATGTATTCCTTTATTAGCATATTGTCTGTTTTCCCCACATTTTGTGTTATGAATCAAGTCATATAGGTGAGTGCTTCCCTAAGTTACAGAAGTCTTTTTTTACCAGGTAAAAATGTCTCTTGTGTAATCAATACTTGTATTTTATTCAGCTAGAATTTTATTTTTTAACTGTACATTGATGCTGTGAATCTTCTATTAAAAAAAACATCCTCCTTCGGCCCTGTGGGATATACAGTCCAGAGCTCCTGTTACATTATGAAATGCTGCAAGAAATTTTCAGATCATGATGCATAGCTACAGGGAACAGAAGCTACATTTGGATAGAATTATATATGAGAATATTACCAGGTTTGGTGGTATTCAATAATGTATGGGTGATAAATGTTATTAATGCACACAAGAACTGTTTTAGTCCAATTTCCTTATTGCATGACACATTGTCACTTTAATGAAATGCAATATCAATACAGTAAAAAATCTGCACCTTTCACAAAGAATTTCAACCCATTATGTGCAGAGTTTGAGTTTCTTTTAAAGCGGAGCTATGACAAGCACAGTCTGCTTAAACAGTATCTTTCAAATAAAAATTAGCTAGCTGCAAAGGGTGATCTTGAAAATTATTTTCTCCACAAGGCTCTAATGAAAAAGAATGATACCTGAGGAAAAGTGATATTTTTCGGTGATTCGAGCTCTTAACATCAAAGTCAGGATACGTTTGACTAACCTGCCCTGGAGCACGTTAAGAGTATAGGATATGTTGCTTCGTGAGACTGAAAATCCAGACTTTTGTCAACATGTTCACAAAAGTCATCCGGTTAACTTGGTAATCTTTACGAAACTTGCATATAAACATGCATTAAGTCTGTTTTATCACATACAGTATATACATGAAGTAACTTCACAACAAGTTTTTAGCTACTTTTTGGGCTGCTGTATTGAATAAATAGTATTAAAAGTCCTATGTAGGAGTTAATAAAGTCCTACTTAGGAAATAAAAAGTCCTGATTGGAAGAAAAAAATCCTATGTTTGTTTTTTTTTTCCCCCTGTGATACCAGGACACTGCTGTAAATAGTAAAAAACCTAACAAAGTAAATAAAAAATAAGTAAGACATTGTTGCATGAATAAATAAAAATGCATATTTGATTTATGACAATACCACAATTGTCACAGTAGCTGCATATTGTTTTCATTGTGAGTATGGTAAGACTGAACTTTTGTAGTAATAGTGTATACTCAACCACATCACTGGTAAAGCATTGGTGTATGAGTCACAATATAAACAGTAGAATTGCATTTATATTCGCTATTGTATTAACAGTTACGACAGATACAAATTCTGAAAAACATATGAAATCTGCAGATCTGGTTTTGGTGGGTTGCCTGAGCCCGCAGTCAATAATGTATATATCCCACCCCATTGTAAGTACTTTCAAACACGAGACTTGAATCATGTGTCCGAAACATCAGGAGAAGGTATAAAACAGGTCTTATGATATAGTGATACTCACCACACCAACACTTAAATGACTATGTCCTCTGAAAGCATAATGGAGTTAATGTTGAAATTAGGGGGTATAGACGGTATACCGGTGGAAATATGTGTCACGATATGAATTTGGCTATACCGGCAGAGAATGGATTTTGATGTTTACATAGATTGTGCCGCCAGCATCATTGAGGTTTGGAAATTTGACCTATCATAATTTAAAATTCTGTCGTATTTTAGCTCCAATTATAATTCTGAAAATGTTAATCTTGCTGACATATGGAAATCTGAGAGGTTCAGAATTATTGACCTTTGGTGGTTCAGACATCTGGTTTGTGATGCATCTGAGATCATTGCGGCCAGTAAAAACATGCTGGCGTCCTCTTCCCTTTTCCGTGAAAACAAATGCACGTGTTTGGTGTGCCCGTCCACAAACATAAATACGCGGATGAAATTGTTGAAAAGAAGAGTGCTTTATCGGTTGTTTGGAAATGGCTCGGATTTAAAAAGTCGGACCACGAGCAGAAAACGGTTATCTGCAAACTATGTCAGGCGACGATTTTAGCCAGAGGTGATAATACAAGCAACCTCCATCACCTAAAGACAAAACATGTATGCGAGTATGAGGAAAGTATGAAAATGCACTCCCAATCCAGCAGTTCTAGTGTCGGTGTGAATAAAAAAGCCACAACACAGACATTGCTGCCTGAGTCATTTACTAGTAATTGTCCAGAGATGGAAGGACATTACACACGCATTACCTGTGTACCTGTGTAAAGACATGGTGCCCATCCAAAGCATTGAGAGAGATGGCTTTAAGGCAATGGTGAAAACTCTGGATTCGCGCTATGCAATACCAAACCGCAAATATTTTACTCAAACCGAAATCCCAAAGTTGTACAACTTTGTGTGTGCAATGTACCCTCTTTTTCAAATTTTTACAATAAGCAGACATTTGAATTCTTGAGGAGTTGTTACTTTAATGCTTGAATATTTTTTAAAGTTATTTTTGTAATTTTATTTTGTTTTAAGGAGTATTACATATTTACGTTTAAGAATTTAATTTGAAGTATAACATATTTACTCATTTAATTCATGTTCATAAGTTTATTGTATTGTTTCATTTCTGCAAAATAAAAATGTTCTTAAAATGTTCGACTTCTACTTCAGTTCAACGTGAAATTTCAAAAATACTAAAAGGAACAACACAGTAGCTAACCAACTGTTAATAATAACCTAATAGTTAACTCCAGGCAATAGCAACTCACTATCCAAGAA